ACCACATGGTGGACGTATACCACATGGTGGACACATCCACATGGTGGTCTGTAAGGTTTACAGAATGGCTTGACTGAAGAAGAAGACACAACCTGAACTCGGGCAGTACAATCCCAGAGGACAGAACCTCAGCCTGAATGCGAAGGAGGAAGGTGAGATGAACACAAACATTCATGTCTCTGCTCTTCTCTTCACATGGTACTGTGGCTGCCCTGTGACCCGCTGTCATGATCCTGCCCTCTTGTTTCCCTAAGATGACAGGCTGGATCCCCTCCAATTGAAAGCCACAATAAACTCTTCTTTCTATAAGTCACTTCTTGTTAGATATTTGACCGCAGGGAGAAAAGTAACTAATATGAGATATAACAGAATTATCTGAGAATGGCTGCCTAAAAAATTCCAAAGTTTTCTCAAATGGTGAACTCAGAGGTTCAGGAGAAACCTGAGCAGAATTACAAACCAACTGAATGAGATAGTGATACACCAATAACAGATCTAGAAAAAGACACTGAACAAGATAAAAAAAAACAAAAAACAAAAAACAAAACCAACCTTATTGTTTCTTCTACAAGATTCCACACAAAATTTTGGCAATTTTTATCAAACCACATATAATACAGTTTACAATACAATCTGATGGAATGAATTGATTTAATAACCATGTATTCCAGATTGATTGAACATTTAAATTTTGATCTACATTATGCACTGATATGCCAATTATATTAAATAAGACAAGCCAACTTATTCACATGAATAGTGACTCTCATACAAGACTAAGATGTACATGAGAGAAGCATAATTGAAAAAAAGTCAAACTTCAATTTATGATATTTTCATAAAAAATAAAATAGATACTTTATTTTCCAACATTGTATGAAGTTTAAGCATAATGGTATATTGCAGTACATCAAACTTTGTAAATTCTACCCGTTTGTAAGGAATGAGTTACTCCAAATTTAGAATTTTAGATCTACACTTATTAACATAAAGATTATTTATAGTGTTTTGTTAATTGAAGAAGCAGCGTACAAAATAATCTGTAAGATATGAAAGCAAGAATACGAGACAGGGCACAGGGTTGAGAGCACTAACAGAGAACTGGGTGCAGTTCCCAGCACCTCATGGTGGTTCACAACCATTTATAACTCTGTTTCCAGGGCGTCTGACGCTCTCTCTGGCCTGTGTAGATTCATGCATGCTGTTAAACCCTCGGAAACATAAACTAAAAAAAAAGTCTTTAAAAAAAGATACAAAAGAATGTGCTTACTGTTTGGAATGAATGAATATTCATAAGAATATTAAGTATTATTATGTCTCTGTCTACTTAACAGTAACCTGGTAAAAGGATTCTATATGCTGCAGGTTTTCCTTATTCTGCTTTGCATTCTAAATCACAAAGAGCAGCATACTATTAAACTTCAAAAAGAGTAAAGGTTTTTGAAAGATAGGTAAATCAAAGAATTTTTAATTAAAATATCTAGTTCTCTAGAAAACATTTTTTTTGTCAGAGTAACATTTTCATAAGAACTAGAGTTATTGTTTTATCGTGAAGGTTAATCTGAAAGAGGTTACACCAAATAATGGTGCGATGCTTTTCACAGTATAAAAGTACATTAGACACTACATGAGAAAGTGTTCCTATCCGAGTGGAGTGGGCACAAGGCCTGTGTGTCAGAAGGCAGAGCTCACCAGCCTCTGAGCCAGGAGTTTATGAACAGGCCTAGGCCACATAGTAAGATGAACTTTTAAAGTATTTAACACATGTACATGCCTACATACTTGTGTGTGTGTGTGTGTGTGTGTGTGTGTGTGTGTGTATTAACTGAGTAATGGGTTACACAAATATTTACTCTCTCTTCCAACATGGCAGGAAAGAACCCAATGCTCACCCACCTTCCTGTCGCTCTCTTCTCGGCTTCTCCGCCTTTGTTCTTCTACCCTCTGTTCTCTCTTAACGTCTTCTCCAATCTTCGAGAGGAGCAGCATCTCCTTTGTCTTCCATTCCTAGGAACCACAGTATTGCCATGCTTGGTAGGTGTGTGTTCTGTTTTCATGGCAAATGCATTTTGTGCACCAGCAAGAAAAACTGACAGGTCAAGGGCCCAACAAACATTGGACCAGATAATATGAAAGTCACCCAGTGCTTCTCGAACGAGCTTTCCCTACTGTGCTTGCATTAAGAAAGCAGATGTCCCTCAATCGAAGATGGATACAGAAACTGTGGTACATTTACACAATGGGATACTACTCAGCTATCAAAAACAAGGAAATCATGAAATTTGCAGGCAAAAGGATAGAACTAGAAAAGATCTCCCAGAAGGAGGAAGACATACATGGTACATACTCACTTACAAGTGGACATTAGATATATAATATAGGATAAACATACTAAAATTTGTATACCTAAAGAAACTAAGCAAGAAGGAGGACCTGAGGGAAGAGGCTTAATCCTCATTCAAAGGGGAAAACAGGATAGACAATGGAAGTAGTAACAGGATAGGAGCCTTCCACAAAGGACCTCTGAAAGGCTCGACCCACCAAGGTATCAAAGGAGATACTGAGACTTAGCCAAACTTTGGTCAGAGTGCTGGAATCCTTATGGAAGAAGGGAGAGATACAAAGAACTGGAAGGGACAGGAGCTCCACAAGGAAAGCAACAGAACCAAAAAATCTGGGCACAGGGGTCTTTTCTGAGACTGATACTCCAACCAAGGACCATTCATGGATATAACCTAGAATCTCTGCTCAGATGTAGCCCATGGCAGCTCAGTATCCAAGTGGGTTCCCTAATAAGTGGAGATCAAGAGCTGCCTCTGACAGGAACTCAGTGGCTGCTCTTTAGTCACCTCCCCCTGCTGAGGTGGCCTTACTAGGTCACAGAGAAAGGGGATCCAGACAGTCCTGAGGAGACCTAACACGCTAAGGTCAGAGAGTAGGAGAAGACGATCTCCCCTAGCAGTGGACTAGGAGAGGGACATAGGGAAGGAAGAGAAAGGGAGGGTGGGACCAGGAGGAGATGAAGAAGGGAGATACATCTGGGAATCAAAGTGAATAAATTGTAATAAATAATAACAATAAAATAATTTGAAAAGAGAAATCAGTAGCTGGGGCAGGGGTGGTTTGGGGGCAGGGCCAGGCTGACTAGTCCGTCAGCCTGGGTTCACTTCCCAGAACCCTCACAGCAGAGGGAGAACTCATTCACACCCTGTCAGGACTTCTCCTCCGTGGCATGTCCACACACGACTAAATAGCTGTAATTAAAAATTAGCTGTGGTTAGTTTTTACTAAGATAATTTAAAAGTATTTCTTGTGCACACTGAAGTTTAATGGGAAATGAAGCGATCTTAGTAACTTTTTATAGTTATATCATACTTATCTTTAAAAGAATTGTTTCATTATGCAGCTTGTGGTATCTGCCTCCACATTTTATAGAGTAATTTATGCACTACAGATATTAAAGTTTAAAACCGAAATGTTTTCAAATGGTATAATACAATTAAACTTATTTATAAATGGAAAAACTGTACACATTTCTCCTCACACATTTAAATTTACCTCTTACCTCTTCAATTTTTCTACGAAGACTAAGTTTTTTTCGTGTGTATTCCCGCTGCCGTCTCTCTTCTCTGTCCATGCGGAGTATGCGCTGCTCTTGTGTTGTGCGTTCAAGTTGATCCAATTCTTTACTTATCATATCTAAATATCTGAGTTAGGATGAACATATGATTGCAGGTGAATTGGGAAGCTTTAGCCTTATACTCCAAATCAAACCCTGCCTTGTTTGTTACGGTTTGAACCACAGAAATGTCATAGGGTTTTCATAAGTTTTGTTTTGGTTGTTTTTGTCAGGTCCATTCATCATTTTTCAGATTATATGTTCTCACAATGTCTGGTTTAAATTTTTTCTTTTCCAATATATATTTGTTATCATGGTCAAAGAAATTGTGGGGTTTAGAGCAAACTAGCTCAGTTTTACACAGTTGGTTTAGGAATCTTTGACTTGCAAATAAGACAGAAAGTGATCAAAGCTTCAAATGCATTCATTGGGAGGACCTTTAGGAACAGAGTGAGCATTGTGCTCTTGGTAGCACAAAAATCTCTCTGATAGCCTGTGACAACGACACAGCATGTCTTATGTCATTGCTGAGGAACAAAACTACACAGTGTAGAAGTCACCACTATAAAAGCTCTCACTCTTAGTAAAGGAAGAAGACTTGCTTTCAGAAAAATAAATTTGGTAATGAATGTTAATTTGTGATTAAGAATGATGCTGAGACTTATGGGCAACCTTTGGGCAGAGTGCAGGGAATCTTAGGAAAGAAGTGGGAAACAGTAAGATTTGGAGAGGACAGGAACTCCACAAGGAGAGCAACAGAACCAAAAAATCTGAGTAGAGGGGTCTTTCCTGAGACTGATAGTCCAACCAAGGACTATGCATGGAGATAACCTAAGACCCCTGCACAGATGTAGCCCATGGCAGTTCAGTATCCAAGTGGGTTCCATTGTAATAGGAACAGGGACTGTCTCTGACATGAACTGATTGACCTGCTCTTTAATTACCTCCCCCTGAGGGGAAAGAAGCATTACCAGGCCACAGAAGAAGACAATGCAGCCACTCCTGATGAGACCTGATTGACTAGGATCAGAAGAAAGGAAAAGAAATCCTCCCCTATCAGTGGACTTGGGGAGGGACATGCATGCAGAGGGTGGAGGAAGGGAGGGATTGGGACAGGAGGAGGGAGGAATACAAAGTGAATAAAGTGTAATTAATAAAGAAAAAAAAAGAATGTGAACTATCTGAATAAATTAGTAGTTATTTAGAATGGTTATATTTTCTTCAGATATATTAAAACTCCTGTACTTGAACTTATTTCTCCAAACTTAATGTTGTTGGTCTTTAAAGAGCATTATAAAAAGTTTCGTTTCTTTTTCAGCTGCTGCTTAAATAATTTCTTCTCTGGAAAGTCTCTGGGATCTGGTGCTTCCTCCAGCTATGACTTCATTAAATATCCACTGGACTTGGAGAGGGGCATGGCAGGAGATGAGGAACAGAGGATAGAATTAGGAGGGGATGAGGGAGGGGGATACAGCTAGGATACACAGTGAATAAACTGTAATTTATAAAAAAATAAAATAAAAAAAATCTTGGGTTCCCAGAAAACTCGAGTCCCCTGGAAGATTCAGCCTATAACTTCAGGATAAAGATTCCTAATTCCTGTACTTCTCTGATTTCCTTTACATTCTTGCTATGTTGAAGAACACTAAACACTATCTATTACTTAAAAAATAAAAGCCCTGCTTACACTGCTTTTCAGTACAATTAATTTCATTCACACACACACACACATACACACACACACACACACACACACACACACACACACGGTACTATAACCTCAGTCTCACCTATGCCTTAACAGACGTTCTTGGTCCTTAATAGACTGAGTATTCTCCTGTAACAACCAGTTCTGGAACCGTGAGACGTCAGAACAGTTAGGAAGTTGGCTGGTTTCTTGCAGCTTATGTAGCTGTTTTGAAATCAATTCCTATTTTAAAAAAATGTAAGAAATATATATTATTTTTACATTTCCCAAGAATATAATCATTAAAATTCTTATATTTTGTAAATGACAAATTGTTAAACTACATTTAATTCTAGTTTGCATCCATACTAATACAGACAGCTGAATGACAATAAGGATTTGTCTCTCTGAAAAAAAAAAGACAAATATTTAATTGGTTCACCAATACTATATTTCTGAGTCTGTCTATTTTCCTATTTATTTATTATTATTATTTATTCTTAATGACACAAGACCTCACACTCTGAAGCTCAGGCTGGCCTTGAACTCACAGTGCTCCTACTTAAGCTTTGCAGAGTGCCAGGACTTCAAATGCATACTGACCTTAGTCATTCTCATTTTCTTTAACATTCCTACTTTGTAATATAAAATTCTGAGAACACACTTGCCTCTTTTTGACATCTCTTGACTCTTAAGAAAAATATGTGCAGATTCCCTGTATACCTCAGTGGCCTGCAGGCCACTGGTATTCAGCTCTGTCTGAGCTCCAGGAGATATTTGCCTGAACTCCACTGGTAGACCTCACAGAACACAGGCCTCCATGCTGAGAATACTCTCTCTCTGTTTCCCACAGCGGGTGTGTGTGTGGGAGGGATCTGATGTCTGGCTGCTAGCTTAGAAGGACCCTGGATCTGGGCTCTGCAGGCACTTGAAGGCACACTGTTTCTCCAATCAAGGACCATGTTTGGATAGAACCCCTGCTCAGACATAGCCCATTGCAGCCCAGTATCCAAGCAGGTTTCCTAGTAAGGGGAACAATCCAAGCAGGTTTCCTAGTAAGGGGAACAGGGACTGTCTCTGACATGAACTCAATGGCTGGCTTTTTGACCTCTCCCCTCCCCCGAGGGAGAAGCAGCCTTGCCAGGCCACAGAGGAGGAGAATGCAGCCAGTCCTGAAGATACCTGATAAACTAGGGTCAGATGAAAGGGTATTCCTCCTCCCCTATCAGTGGACTTGGAAAGGGGCAGGGAGGAGATGAGGGAGGGAGGGTGGGATTGGGAGGGAATGAGGGAGGGGGCTACGGCTGGGATACAAAGTGAATAAACTGTCACTAATATAAAAAATAAAAATTTAAAAAAATAAAAACTTGCATCCATTTATATATATGACAGAAACAGAGAGGAGAGGGGGAGGGAGAAAAGCCGAGAAAGGAAGGACAGAGAGGGAGGAGGAAAGAGGCAAGGAAGAGAAAGAGAGATGTACGCTGTACGCTATACACAACTTTGACTCAAGACTCACTATCTGTAATTTAAGAATTCTTCACTTTTATGACTTTTGTGAATGAATTCATATATACACATATCTATCTATCTATACAGTTACCCTGAATTTTAAATATTATGCAGAATATTATAAATGTAACAAAAGAAAACACTGGTTTTAAAAATTGCTTTGGTTTTAGCTTTAGAATCTTCTAATGCAACAGACAGCTTCTGGTGCCGGCTAAGGCCTGAGTATCATAACTGACTTACTGAATTACTCACTAAATTAACAGGTAAATATAAATAATAATGTTAAATATTAGTATCACTAATCCCTTTAACCTTGTTGGGCAAATGTTGCAAGTTCCAAATATTGTTCATTCTGCTTCCAAATTCACATGCAATTTTATTTAATCAACAATTAAAACTTTTTTGCATTTTTATTAATTATTATTATTTATTACAATTTGTTCAATTTGTATCCTGGTTGTGGCATCTTCCTTCGTCTCCTCCCAATCCCACCTACCCTCCCTCTTCTCCCCCTATGCCCCTCCTCCATTCCTCTGATGGGGGTGGTCCTCCTCCCCTTCTATTTGACTCTAGCCTATCAAGTCTCATCTGGACTGGCTGTATTGTCTTCCTCTGTGGCCTGACAAGACTGTGCCCTCCCCGACACCTCCCAGGGAGAGGTGATCAAAGAGCCTGCCCCTGAGTTCATGCCAGAGAAAGTCTCTGTTCCTCTTACTAGGACCCACTTGGAGACTGAGTCTATGGGCTACATCTGAGCAGGAGTTTTAGGTCCTCTCCATGCATGGTCCTTAAAACACAAGACAATATTATATACATAAATAAAACATTCTATATCTTCTATCTTAACAAACTAATATAAATTCATAACTTACCTGTTCTCTTAAATAGTTTCTTTCAAAGTCTAATTTTAAGCTGGTAAGGTATTGCCGGTATTTGTTTAGCTCCCTCAAGCTACATACAATCTAAAAAAAAGAAAAAAACCATCAAAATTGTATGAATATTTTAAATATAATGAAAATTGAACATTCCTCACAATTGCTTTTTAGAGGAATAAGAGCAATGATGACCTTTTTGGTATGAACATTAAAAATTATTAACAGTTTCATAGTTGGCACCTCCACATTTGTAAGCAAGAAATTTCTATCTAAAAATAAAACATTCTTATTGCTGTAATATAATCAGAAATTTATCATTCAGAAGTAACTGTAATTATGAAAATAATGGAAATTAATTTTAATTGGATATTGTAAATATAATGTTCAAATAAGAATAATCTCTCAAGATGTTAACGGACTATATTTCCTACATTCCTATTTCAAGCTTATAAAAATATAAATCGTGCACAAGAAAACAATGTCAGTAAAAACAGAAAAAACAAACTATGTTCATCTGGGAACATTAATATACCCTTGCTCCTTCAAGATACACGTCAATAACCTCTTGATATTACAGAGAAAAAAGTAAAGGAAATAATCACATGTGAAGCCTTCATGTCTGACTCCTGTATTCTGTAAAACCCACCGAGTATCCGATTAGAACAGGGTCGTGAAGATACTTCTGAAAGAGTCCCTGGACAGGAGCTGTCTGCTAAGGCTGACCTGCTGACTAGAGCTGCAGTGCCATGGAGAAGTTGGACGCTGCAGATCCAGAGCCCAATTTCACTTTGACGTAGGGTATCTTTACACATTCCTTTCCCACCTGTACTGGAACCAACATTCTGTCACGAAGACATAAGCCCCTTTTTACATGTATTAACAGAACCCTATTTTCCATTCATTTAAGGGAGAAGAACTCTATAGCTGAGATATCTTTGCTTGGCTCTATCGACTTCTGATTTTTCTGCCAACACATTTGAAAAGCTTCTTGATTTATGATTTTCTTTGTTTGATTATTATACAAACTTCCTGAAGTTATTTCCACATTAGATCAAGGAATTTGGAGTAATGGAAAATTGTGCTTCTGAGTTATGGTCACACATTTTTGGCTCCAGAAGAAATTATTTGTTATTCCCGTTGAGGTAGGAGCTGTGTTTTTTCATCAAGAGACTGGCTTTCTATCAGGGTAAAGAAGCAAACAGCGTAGTGTAAGTTTTCATTGATTTTTTTTTTTTTAAAAAGCAAACTTCAACTCACTTTATTATTGCTGGTGATGTAGCCACCTTTCTTTAGTCTCCTTAGAATATCTTTGCGCTTGTAATATGTTCTTAAATGTGGGTCATGGAGACTTTTATATTGAGTTTCCAAAAGTCGACAGTAAGGATCACTCAGGTTAAAACCATAGGAAGGTCGAAAAAGCTGCAAACAAAGATATTAAAATATTACAAATATAAATTAATATATTTTCAGTTTTAATTAACCTGTTGACATGAATAGAAAAATCAAACATGTAGTTTAAATTTGAACTGGGAATATGTGAGCAACAGGAGGATTTACTCAGGAAAGCTTTCCTTCCTTTCCTCACCCATGTGAAGTAATCTAAATAGTTGGCCTTGCTAAATCAGTTCTTTCCCTGCTGTATCACCCTCTGGCCATGAGACCAAAAACAGACAGGAGAAAAGAAATGAAATAGTGTATAATCTGTTTTAAGAAATAAAGCCAATGCCAAGATTCTGTCTTTTCTTTCTCCCTTGTTGGAGGAGATACTATACTCAAAAGAAAAAAGAAAAAGAAAAAATTAATTGTATTTCAATCATCTGAAAGTGTAGAAAAATAATGAAAAATCTTTTAGTATAATTAAATGGAAAAATGCATATAAAAAGTAGAGATGGAACTCAGATATTAGAGACTAACAATAAAGATTCATTGTGTCTTGGGACCTTTAACAAACCCAATGCATGTTGAGTATTATAGTCTACAGAAAGTCAATGTCTATGTCAAATAGTTCAACACACTGAAATACTAGTTTAAATCTTAAAGAAAATGGGTACTATCCTATGTGATAATACCAAACAGAGCCTCATACAATAAATATCATATAAATGTAATCTTACCATATAAATATAAATATTACAACATAAATACCATAAGAATGAAAGACAGTCAACTAATGCTCATGATTCCCTAATTTTTTTAACTATGAAGGAAAATCCTAAATTACTTAATCTCATTTATCAACTAAATCATTATCAGAGTAAGGTTTTGATGTGAGTTCTCAGCTAATTTTTCAAAGGGAAAACGATGATGGTAGTTTGTACAAGGGCTTCTGAAGAAGAAAAAGGTAGACGATAGAAGTCTGTATGTGAATGTGCTAACATCCTTTCTGTATTTTGGCTTGAATTCTCACTAATGCAATGCCAAGTCTAGAAATACAGGGAGAATGTGTCATGCTTATAGGGATCTATTTCAATTCACACTACCACATAATTTATGTGCCAGTCCAGAGAGTTCTGAAGGTACCAGCCTGTGACTTCTGTTCAGTTTACTTAAAGCTACAAGGTAAGTTCACTTCTTGAATATTGGAGAGTAGGGTGGAGTAGGGATCTCAAAGGAACTAGGCAGCAGAAGGGAGGCTTTGTGTTGGGCAAAAAACACACCCTTTGTTAAGTCCCTGAGCTCTTAATGCACAACTTTAATACCTTTCAGAGGGCCTAGGGAGAAAAGTAGATTGAATGACTAACAAAGCTTCCCAGAATGCATTCCACCTCCCCCCCCAAAAAAAAATTAGACTACAACTAAAGTTTAATTCAGTGAAAATTGGACCAGATAAGTGGTACACATCTTACCCTGAGAGAAACAATAAGTGAAGAAAAGAACTGGTTGTCTCTCTTAGATGGTGACATTTGGCTGTCAACTCCCTTTAGATGCTGACTTTTTAAAATTAATTAATTAATTTATTTATTCACTTTACATCCCAATCAAAAGCCTTCTCCCTCTCCTTCAGTTCTCATCCTCCCTCCTTCTCCCTATCCCTCCTCCTCTACTGCTCAGATAAGAGCCTCCCCCTTACCAATTCTCTTTTAATGGTGAAAAACGTTTCTCAATATTTATTAAAGTAACCACTCAACATAAATATATTAAGCCTTATTCAGAATCATTTAGTCAAGAATTGAGGGGACTGGGATCAGGGGGCGAGTAAACCAAGTTTGGAGACAAATTGAACCAAAAATATAGTGGCTATTTGTTGATTGGGCATAAAACACAATGATTAGATGAACTCATTCTGAAGCTACGAATAGAGAAAGAACACTAAGATGACCATGGACTCTCATTTTCACAGGGGCAGGGCCTTTTTTCATTTACAAGAATTATAATACCAAACATGAAAAATCATTTCAGATCTTCTTAAAAAAGTCTTACTGCACGAGATAGCATTTGGCTCCAAAGGAAAAAACAAAAACAAAAACAAAAGTCTTTTATAGAGCGTTTAGTCCTAGTTAGTATTGGTTAAAATTCTAGTGAATAATTAATAGTCAATAGTGATATAGCCTTTGAATCAAATGATTCTAAAATACAACTTAATAAATACATAGGCATGAAAAGGTTATACAATTAAATGTTAGTATGTTGCTACGTAATATGAATTAAAATAGGGTCATGATTCTATAAAGCCATTGGATGAAATTGCTTTATATACAATCTAAACAGGACCTGAGGTAGCATTCCTGGTTAGTACTTATTTTTCTAGTGTACTCTTAGAGAATATAAGAGCAAGGAGGAGAAAAGAGCACAGAGATGTTAGACAATTGATACAATAAGAAGCTGTCTTACCTTTTCACTGATATTCGTAGTAAAATATACAGTATCAGTTCCTGGGATCATAGGCAGCTTGACCCCAAGAGGAAGATCCAGGAGTTGAGCGGCTCCCACCCCTGGAATTGGGGTTTTGTGTGTCCCCTGTCGAATATAATCAGAGAATTTGTCTTTTCTTTTGGCAACAGTATTTTGCTTTGATCCATATCCTCACATAAGGATAGAAACTCAAGAACCAAAGGGTAAGGTCTGAAGGGGCACACCGTTGCCTGGTCCCTCTCTCCAGCCAGCCTAGGGCACCCTGCTATATAGCCAGATAGGAGCTGGTGAGACGATTACCGGCCCCAGGCCCACCATGGCTGCTCCTAGGGCTGAGGCCCAGTATATCCACGTTGGCCTGAGGCCCAGGACATCCACACCAGCCCGAGTCCACTTTACTCACATCTCCGCATTGCTGACTGTCTTCAGCCACTTTGCTGGTAGCTGCCTTGTTGGCCGCCACGTTGGCAGTCTTGGAGCAGGCACTGAGGTACAGCTCCATAGAAGCTGGGGACTCAGGTCCTCCCTTGACGCTTCCTGGCTTCCTTCGCCTTGGTCCCTCAGTTCCGAATGACCGGTGCCAGCCCCCTGCGGCCCCGCGAGCTTACGTTCCACATAGAACAGTGGAGGCTGCATAGGAGATGGAGTGACTCACATTGGGAAATTCGGTCCCAGAGACTGTGACGACCCAGACCGTAAGTCTGGTTCTCTTGGAAACCCTCACCCCTCAGATGATCCAAACAAAAAAGTGTGTAATTGTGCCCTGCAAAGAGCCTGAGATAAGAGAGCTCATTTATCAGCTTTACCAAAGATCGGCAGAGGATCCGTGAGCACCTAGGACCAGACATCTGGCTATTTATTCACCTTATCCAATAAAGACTTCATACCACCCCATACCCGCGCTCTTTTAAATTAAATGTCAGCTCCACACCCCACAGAATCCTGCTCCCTTCTGCTTCCTCCCTCCTCTACTTTTCCTTTCCCTTGCTCTTTCTATACCTTCTTGCTCTTTCTATACCCTGTTCTTTCTATACCCTCTACTTTACCCTACTTCCTCCTGGCCTCACCCATCGAATCTAATTTTGTAACATTCCCAGATTCTTTGAGTCAGTCATGAATGGACAGGGTTGAACACATTGTATATAAAATAAGATCCTTGCTTTTGAGCAGCTGCATAGACACAGTTGGTACTAAGCAGTAACCTTAAGAGCTAGGTTAAGAGTTAGGAGTGTGTTTCAAAGGTTCCTTGATCCATTGCCACTCTTTCTGGACCATATAAAACTATTAATTCCACATACTAAATCTATAAACACTTTGTCAGTAGCTGCCTTTTCATTTTCAAGGTGTAAGGAAGGACATGATGATCTCAAAAGTGACAGCCTTCCAAATGGGAAAATAGAAATTACTGTTGGGTAATCATTTGATTGAACACTTTCCCAAGAAAGACACAGAGACTGGCTGAAATGGGATTACTTTCAGATTTAAGAATTATTTATTTATTTATCTATTTATTTATTTATTGAGTTGCATTTTATTAACTCTGTATCCCAGCTGTATCCCGCTCCCTCATTCCCTCCCAATCCCACCCTCCCTCCTTATCTCCTCCCTGCCCCTTTCCAAGTCCACTGATAGGGGAGGACCTCCTCCCCTTTCATCTGACCCTGTTTTATCAATAACTACACATTTTATTCCAACAAGTAAAACTTCCAGTGCCAGGAATGGGTTACATTTTGTGGAGTTACTGGCTAACCTTGTCTTATGGAAACCTCCGGTATCTCAGGCTGTTTGTCAAGGCTGTTGGTTGCTTTCTACAAACTAGCGGTAAGGCCCTGCTGCTGATGGCAGTACTTATGTCATCAAGCATGAATAGATCTGAGGTCTACCAGAGTTTTCATGTCTACTGACCAGATTCTATGGTGCTGAAAGGCACACTAAACACTACTAGAGAGGAAACAGAATACTTTACAACCCTCAACAGCAGCCTGTCTTCAGAAAGCGGTGAAAGAGTGGCTCAAAAGTTATGGGAGTAACTAACAACTTTTCAGTGGTTGTAAGGCCATCTCCAGGTGATGGAATCCATACCTGACATTGCTAAGGTGGCCAAAACCCTGGAGCTAGATAGGTCGTGGACCTCAGGGAGCATCCTACACATGGCAGTTAAATGACTCCTAGTGACATATTGCTAAACCTTGGGTCATTGCCTGGTTCAAGCCTCGTCAGAGAAGCCTCTTCTTGTAGCAGATGATAACACAGAAACACAAAGTAGACAATGCACAGAGAGTGAAAGATTTTGGATCACTCACTGCTAAATAGCATATGTTTTTCAAACTTCTCTCCTAAAGGCTTAGGGATCTATGTGAAGAGGAGAGTAAAAGATCACAAGATCCAGAGGGAACAAATGACTCCAAGAAACATTGTCTTCTAGACTCAACAACTGAAAGTCATACGAACTAAAAAACACTGTGTCAGACATGCGCAGGACTTGTACCAGTTTAAGCCACACAGTGTTTAAGCACTGAGAAGGGTATAACCACCACACTCTCAGAAGTTTAAGCCACATGGTGTTTCAGGACTGAGAAGGGTGTATTCACCACATTCTCAGAAGGCCTTATGTCTTCTTCCCAGGAATTGTTGACCAACTCAAAATGAATGCCATAGGTTTTTGGTTTGTTTTAAGACTTTTTCTTTATTTTGGCTGTTTTTTGTTTTTGTTTTTTTTTTTTTTTTTGGTCTTATTGGCTCATTGAAGGTTTTGATTTTTTGTGTTTATTTATTTTTTTATTTTTATCTTAATTACAGTTTATTCATTTTGTATCCCAACTGTAGCCCCCTTCTTCATTCCCTCCTAATCCTACCCTCCCTCCTTCATCTCCTCCTATGCCCCTCCCCCAGTCCAGTAAAAAGGGAGGTCCTCCTCCCCTTTCATCTGACCCTAGTCTATCAAGTCTCATCAAGACTGGCTACATTGTTTTCCTCTATGGCCTAGTAAGTCTGCTCCCCAATTGGGGGTCGGGGGGTGGGGAAGGAGTGATCAAAGAGCCAGCCACTGAGTTCATGTCAGAGACAACCCCTGTTCCAATTACAAGGGAACCCACTTGGACACTGAGCTGCCTTGGGCTACATCTGTGCAGGGGTTCTAGGTTATCTCCATGCACGTTCCTTGGTTAGAGTATCAGTCTCAAAAAGACCCCTGGCCCCAGACTTCTTGGTTCTGTTGGTCTTTTTGTGGAGCTACTGACCCTCCAGGTCTTTCTGTGTACCCCCTTTTTCATAAGATTCCCTGCACTCTGCCCAAAGTTTAGCTGAGTCTCAGCCTCTGCTTTGATACACTATAGGCCTGTCCTGTTCCCTCTTTATTATTTTTTTTTAGAGCTGGAACATAAAGTAGGGTGGATAGGAAGATTGGGAGGATTTTGGGAGAGTAACATATAACAACATTATATGAAAAAATTTAAAAGCACTAAAAATTATAAGAGCTTAAAGTTGTAACCCAAATCAGTTTTCATAGAGCAGAGACCCATGCTGTCTGGTTATTTAAGTTTAAGTTTATTCTTATTAGACTGAAATGAGTAGTGCATTCAGAGGACCTTTTTGTTCTTATTTTTTCAAAACCACATCATATTATGTACAACCACCACAGAAATAAGGTGGTACTTTTCAATATTTTCAAGGAATAAATATTCATTTTAACACATTTAAGTAAAGTACCTCTAATTGTGGTTTTGTAATTTCCTTACTTTTTAATCTTCATAATACTGAATTAAAGGAAATTTGTTTTTTTGTTAACATGGAATAATTGTCACTGATTCATGTAGTTGGTGTTGTAACCATTCTAATGCATGTGCTCAGAACAAGTGCCAATTAAAATATTACTGCATGCTTATCATCTGCTGCCAGCTGGCTGTTTATATTAACAGTGCAGGAGATCACAGTGCTATTTAAGGTAGCTGCTCATCAGCTATGGCTTGATTATATGCTGTTGCTAATATTTTCACCTAATTAGCGAACAGTCTGAGAAAAGCTTTATCTCTAATATGGCTTCATAAGTAATGAAGTTGAGAATAAAGTTAATCTTTGGAGACATTTCTGGAAGAAACAAAACAAAAAAACCCTGTCTACCATCTTCTCCTTGCTGAGGCTTCTCCACGCAAAAGTCCCTTGTAGTGTCTGATGCTCACTCTGTTGTGTTAGTACCTGTCCATGTTTGGCACACTCCTTTCAGCCTCCTTCTCGAAAACTCTTCTCAGCCATGCGGTTTCAGACAAAGTCCTGATGCAATGCCTAGTTTTATGTCACCTGGCACAAGCTGGAGTTATTCGGGAAGAGGAAACCTTCAATTGAGAATATGTCCTTACTAGACTAATCTGTGGTACATTTTAAAAAATTATCAATGGATGTTGGAGGATCCATGCTGTTGTAGATGGCACCAGCCTTTCACAGGTGATCCCGGGATGTATGAAAGATCAGGCTGACCGAGTCTTGGAGAGCAAGCCATGAAACAGCATTCCCCACGGCCTTTGCATCAGCTTCTGTCTCCAGGTTCCTCCTCTGCTGCAGTTCCTGCCTAGGCTTTCCTCAGTGGTCTGTGACTCAGGATACATAAACCAAATAACCCCTTTCCTTCATCAGTTGCTTTAGGTCATGATGTTCTATCACAGTGATGGAAACCCTAACTGAGTACCCTACAAGCAGAAAGGGAATGGTTTTTGCCTTGGACTGGGCCTTGAAAGAATCTTTGCAGTAGTTATAAATTCACAGTTTCCCTTATTGACAAAATTATTATATAAACAAGTTTCATTTTGTATGCACTGTATCTTTGGATCTTTCTTTTTCTCTCCCTCTCCTCATGAAAAATTCTTAGTTGAACTATTTTTGAAAGTTTTATGCAAAATGTCACAAAAAAGATTTTAAGTATAGACTCATAAAGAGAAGCTCTTTTGTTTATGTCTATCTGTGCACTTGAGAAAGATCTTGAGTTCAAAACCCTCTTTCATCACTTCTGTACTGCTGGGTTTATACCCATGGACCACCTTGCCACACATGGTATGGTTTTCTTTATGGTCTTAATGTTTTGTTTTGTTTTGTTTTCCTTTCTGTCCTGGTCCAGAGAGTGAATACTCTTGATATCTGTAATCATTAAAAGATTTCTATTAAGTGACCATTAGAACCATCTGTGTTTTCCTTCAATGATTTAAAAGAAGCAAAAGTGAAATGTTTCCTTCAAGCAAGCAAGAAAAGAAAGTTCAAAGAAAAAGTGTCATTTAAACACTAAATATCCCATAAGTCCACATCACTCAGGTGCTTCATTTCAAGTATGGTCTACACCTGGTGTAGATTGTTGTTATTTAACATTGAATTTGTGTTGTGCTTTAGATAAGCTTCAAATCCTGAAACCATTGTTTTTTGATTTGAGCTTAATTATGGGACAACAAGCTCTCATGAAGCAGTTCTTACACTGAAGGATTTATTTATTTATTTATTTATTTATTTATTTATTTATTT